CTAGTTAGTTATTTCTCATGCAACGTGCAATCTAGGAATTAGAAAACATACTTAAAAGCAAAGAATATATAATAACTAGTGAAAATGATGTTTAGATAATAACAACGGAACAACTATTTAGATGATTTTTAAAACTATTTTAATATATATATATATACACTAACATTGATATACTTAAATGATGTTTAAGATTTATGTTCACAATTTCTATTTATACAAATTCAAACATCATTTTCAAATGTTTAATACGAATGTGAACCATATGATGATTATATAAATATTTTCATTTGAATACTATATTTTCAATTTTTCTCTAGAATTTAGCGTATTTTTTTGTATCTCTTTGTTATAGTCCGTGTCCACTATTGAAAAAAAAATGTTGAATCCACACGTGACCGGAAAGATAAAACTTATAAAGTGAAATAAATTTGTGAATTTTTTTCTTTTTTAAATTATTGATCACATATTTGGTTTTACAGAATTTCATTTTTATATTATCTAAATCTATATAGTTTCTACAATTTTTTTAACAAAATGATAGTTTTTTATATAAATTTATTGTTTATTCATATCTTTATGAGTATTTGCATAAAATACTCTATATAAAAATTAATATAGTATGTGACATAAAAAATCTTTTTAGTTTTTTCAAAACTATTTTTTTATCTATCAATAAATGAAGTTCATAACATTTTCCAATAGTAGTTGCATAGAGAAAAAATCTAGTACAAAATTGTCAATGATATGTCAAGATGAGTTAAGCTTGGCCTAAACTTACAAAATTGTTGTATCAATTATTGATATTTAATACCATACGTTACAAAATATTGATATACCAAATATGATAGAAAATTATGGCATGTCGTCAATAAAAAGAACATCGGAACATCTTTTTTTTTTGTCACGAACACACTTCATTCCGGCAAACTAGCCAAATACAACAGTATATGGGAACCAGTAAGGGACTGAAGTGCCAATATAAGAAAACAGTAACTTCCTATGCCGGGCATGCCGGGCCAGTAGGTCTGATCTAACATTCTTCTCCCTTGGACAATACCGTATGATACAGTCTGGAAAAGACGTCCGTAGTTCCTTGAACTCTTCCAGCTCTACTTGAAACCTCGGCCACTGTTCCGGGTCCCTCACCATGTTGGTAAACTCCATCGAGTGCGTAAGGAAAATGCTACAATACCTGCGTTTCTTCCGTAGACAAGTCATTGCCCACAGAAGGCTGTTGAGCTCTATGTGTAAGGAGGAGAGGCTCCGCCTTATACAGCGAAGTCCAAGTAAGACTATCGCGCCATCCTGTAGCTGAAGTGTCCACCCTATGCCACTTGTGGGGTCTCCATCTTTCTATGCTTCGTCCAGATAACATGTGAATGGTTCCTGGGGAGCTATAATAAGGGGTTGGTCCTGGCGGGTCAGCAACCCTGGCTCCATCGGTGTATTAGTTAAAAACCAGACCGCAGCCTCTTTACCTGCCAGATCAAGGATATCTTGTGCTCA